TTTTTTATTTTGATTTTATTTTCATTATTAAAATTTAAATTATATATGTTTTTTAATCAACTTAATTATATATATATATGTCGATCTAATGTATTTTTAAAAAATTTAAATTGTAGGTTTCTAACGGACAATCGTCTGGGACGAAGCTTCTCAGACATCATCAAGGCAAATTTTCGGGACCCGCATCCGAACTGGAAGCTTTCACCAGACCACGTTCAGAGGACTTGGTACAAATGCTTTGCGGTAAGTTTTCGATATTAAATTTTTATTCTTAATTAAATTAATTTATTTTATATTCACTTGATTATTAATTTCTTATTTTAATTATTTTTTGCAGAAAAAAGGGAATTGGTCTATTGCTGTCAACGAGAAGGTGAAGGAGGGGTTCAACGATAAAGCCAAGGATCGCCTTAAGAACATTGTGGGCAACTGGAAGGAGAAGTGGAGGGCTATGCATGATAACCAAAACCAATCTACATCAGCGAACAAGTTTGGACTTGCTTGAAGGCTTACTGGAATTTACCTAAGTCAGTTTGAACTTCGATATGTTGCTCCAAGTCCCGATTGACGCGTGATGCTCAGGGTAATTTGTCATCTTCCCACACTCCTGGACAGACTCCACACGCCGAGAAAGCCCTAGAAATTGTAAGTAGATTATTTCTAATTTTTAAATTATTAATACATTTATTATTGAATACATGAGTTTCATTTTAAATTTTTGTAGGCTGCTAGGGAAGAAGCACCAACGTCTCTTTCCGACTTTATGAGTTGACGCACCAGCATTCTGATGAGACGTTTGTGGATCCTCGAGCAGAGAAGATCTACAACGATGTTTAGGCTCGGATCCATGAGGTCCAGACCTAGTTGTCGCAACAAGGCGAACCCATCCAGTTAACCACCATCGAACAAGACAAAATTTTTGAGGAGGTAAATTATTATTCAATTTAAATTATTAATTATATTTTTTCATTGAATGAAGGTTATCCCAAAGAAGAGGGGACATATGATCGGGATTGGTACGGTGAACGATGTCCCGAGGGCTAGAGCTGAACATACTGCAAAACTGCATGAAGAGTCTCAGCTTCTGGCCGATTTGGCGAACACCAACCAAGTCATTTCGACCCTCTGGACGGACAACCAGACCAACAGGAGCCACGTTAGGGCCATGGCTGAGATGTTTGATATTATTGCAGAAACAAACCCAGCACTTGCACAGATGTGCAATCTAAACATTCGACAATCAACCCGATCCAACTCCACAAGAACAGGCAAACGCGGAGCAAGCAGCCGAGGAGTATAACTCCCAGTTTTTCGAAAACATTAACCTTAATAATTAGAATTTTTTTTTTTTTGTAATTTGAATATATTATGATTTTGGATTTATTAATTTAATGTTTTTTATATTTTCAAAATTGAAGGATTTTATAAATATTTAAATTCAAAATTTAAAAAAAAAATTAATTAAAAATTTATAAATTTATACCCTTGTTTTTGTTATTATATATATATATATATATATATTAATTATGAAATAGTTTAACACATGTCATAATCATAAATTTATAATTGTTATGTGTCACAATCTTGATAATTAGTAACTTTAAAAAATCAAATTTTATATAATAAGATAGATAACATGGTTAGAATGATTCTTGATATGTTTTATATCAAATACTTTTGTAGATATGGAACCAGACCATATATTTTCAGAGACTTGCTGTGATGTACCGTTTGATTAGCATTAAAAACATAGTTCGAATCCGAGAGGAAGATAACAAATATTTCATGTTTATTTACACAACTCAACTTATAAATACAATAATGATTTCTCTGCGCTCTTACCTCTTCCTTTAGCATTGGTAATGCAAGGAAACACAAAGGTTTGTTACATTAATATTACAACATGGGTTTGCGAGCTATAAAATATGTAAAAAATAACAAACAAAAACACTACTCATGAATCTTCTCCAATGCTATTTCTTGGCTTGCAATAACAAAAATCTGGACTATTAGATATACTAAAAAGACAACTGAAGGATCAGACACAAACCCAAAAGAGTGTCTCAGTAGAAACTGGTGACATAAAATAATCTAAGAGAGAAGAACAAAGCTTAGAAGTATACCTTCTTTAGATACTTCTTGTGAAGTTTCATTGCACCAGAGCATGCTTTCTTAGCATCCAAGTTTCCGGTTATGTCATTCAAAATCTGAGCAAAAACAAACACATATTATTGAGCTGTTAAAGAAACAAAAACACTATCGTCAATCATTAGCTTAACAACATCATCAAGTCCTCAAGCTTCAGTCATAAGCTTAGAACTCTCGTCTTTCAATACACTAGCCACTAATAAAACCGATATAACCAAACCAGTCAAGAAAGCAAGCAAACGGATTAGGAACGATAAGTAACTATTCTTTGGACATTCTCATTTGTAACTCGCATGTCTTTGCCCCCTGGAAGTAACTCTTCCTCTGTCCTTTCTCCATATTCATTGTTGAGAATAACAAAGTAAAGCTCCAACTCTGAGATATTTCCCTTATAACGCTGCAAGTAGTGGATAAAAAAAGCTCATAAAATCATCACAGGAACAGACAGATTTCAGCATTCTTTCACATATGCTAACAGTTATTTCTCGGTTCCACAAAATAAGAGGAAATAGATGCTGAGCAATACTGACCTTCAGAAATATGAGATGCTTATACAACTCAGGATCCAGAGAAGGCAAATCGTTCAAATAGTTGTACCAAGCCAACGATAAATACAAGTTTTACGACGTATTCACAAGGTCTGTGTGGGATTAACAAACAAATGAAATGACAGGAATTTGAAGGTAGAAATCAAATTAATACTTTTGTTTCAATTTGCTAAGGAAAAACGTTGCAAATGGTATATCAACTAGAATCCCTTAAAACATACCCTGCAACAACAACAAAACGGGAAAAAAACATTTCATAAGTCTTTTCTTAAAAGATGGAAAATCAGCTGCAATACAAAACAAAGGTCATGTACCATTCCTGAACATCAAATGCTCCTTACCTTCTTAAGTGCGAAGCTTCTCCGAAACCCTAAAAGCCGGCTTCCCAGAGCCTCACCGCTTCTCCAAAGCTCGCCAGAACAAACCCCGTTGATGCTCAAGACGAGCTGTCGTAGAGGTCCCATCAACTGCAGAGAAACAAGTATACCGGACATGGAAGCAGAAAGCAAAGAGAAAAACAAGGAAAAGGGTAGAGGAAGAGTGCCGGAGCTAGGGTTTTCAGATTCTAGAGAGAAGCTAGATTTTTAATTTTAATTTAATAAACTAGATTTCTTTGACCAAAAAATAAATAAACTAGATTTCAAACCGCAACCCGCGCGGATGTTTATTTTCATAGACCTAAAATTTATGAGAAAATGATTAAAATAGATCTAAATTTTTTTTTGTCACAAATGTAGACCTTAACAATTAAAATGACCAAAATAGCACTTAAATAGTTTATTAAATATACATTTATACCCCTTAGGTTAACTAATCCTAAATTTTTTTTGTTTAGAGTTGAGGAATGTGGTTTTGGGGATAGGGTTTCAAATTTTAAAAAATGAAAAAAACTTAAAATTTTAAAAATAAAAAGTGGTATTTTGGTCATTTTAATTTTTAAGGTATATTTTTTTGATAAAAAACTTGAAAAAGGGCTATTTGAAAGAATTGCCCAATCATATTTAAGAATTTTGGGTTTCAAAAGACAAACATAATCTTATTTTTTTAATTAGAACTAACGTTTATGTCAAAAATTTAACTGGTGATATTTATAAATCTGATTTTAAGTTAGTACTCACATGAGGCTTAAAACTGCGCAAGCACTAATTGAGTATTAAAAGTGCTAACTGTAAATACTTGAGGAACTAAAAGTTCATTTTCCCATAGATTAGGTACAATTAAGTGTTTTGACCAAAAAAAAAAAGAATTTCTTGGATTCACCCCTAGTGTGAATCTCTAGGTTCACCAACCAATAGGATTTCATTGTTTTATATTTAGTATCTTTTAAAAAAGTAAACAAAATATTATTGAGTTATATTATGTTTTTAAAATTAAAAAAAAAATAAAAACTAATAGTAGTTACAAATAAAAAACGTTTTTTAAAAAATATTTTTAACACCATCACCAAAAAACTAAACCATAAGCCCTAAATCCTTGGGTAAACTTTAAACCCTTGGATAAATCTTTGATTTTGTAAAAAATATTTTTGATACTGACAGCAAAACACTAAACCCTAAACCCTAAATCCTAAACCCTAAACCCTTGAATTAATCATAAATTATTGAGTTATATTATGTTTTTAAAATAAAAAAAATAATAAATAATAAAAATTAATAGTAGTTGCAAACAAAATTTTTTAAAAAAAAATATTTTAACACCATCACCAAAAAACTAAACCCTAAACCCTAAACCCTTACGTAAACTTTAAACCCTTGGATAAATCTTTGATTTTGTAAAAAATATTTTTGATACTGACAGCAAAACACTAAACCCTAGACCCTAAACCCTAAACCCTTGAATTAATCATAAAATATTATTGAGTTAATCCAAAGGTTGAGGATTTATCCAATGGTTTAGGGTTTAGGATTTAGGATTTAGGGTTTAGTGTTTTGCTGGTGTTAAGAAAAATATTTTTTAAAAATGTTTTTTATTTGTAACTACTATTAGTTTTTATTTATTTTTATCTTTTAATTTTAAAAACATAATATAACTCAATAATATTTTTTTGACTTTTTTAAAAGATATCAAATATAAAACAATGAAATTCTATTGATCGATGAACCTTTAGGTGAACCTAAGAATTACTCAAAAAAAAAAAGAGTACAATTAAGTGTATGTTCTAAAATGGATCTTTCCAAAGATTACTTCATTGCTTTCTATGGATCTCAGAGAATGACAAAAAACAATCAGTCAATATACAAAGGTATACTGAAAACTAATCTCCATTATAAATGTTGAACCAAGAGGCTTAAAGTCAATAAGGCTATGGAGAAGGAGAACAAGACGCGCTTTGTGCTTGTCCATGGGCTCTGCCACGGCGCGTGGACATGGTACAAGGTGAAAATGCGGCTGAAGGCAGCAGGTCAAAGTGTTACCGCAGTGGATCTTGCTGCATCGGGTATAAACATGACAAGATTGGAAGAGATTCAAACTTTGAAGGATTATGCCAAACCGTTGCTTGATATTCTGAGATCATTTGACTCGGATAAGGTGATTCTTGTTGCTCATAGCATGGGAGGACTATGCTCTGCTCTTGCTGCTGACATCTTCCCACGCAAGGTCGCTGCTATTGTCTTCTTGGCAGCTTTCATGCCGAACAACAAACCCACCTGCTTATGTTTACGAAAAGGTATGTTAATGATTTGCTTTCACGGCTTTGACCTCTGTCAAGTGATTCTGATAACTTTCTAAATCTGCAGCTGATCAGAAGCGTACCACAAGAGGATTGGCTGGACACTGTGTTCGGTACCTACGGGAAACCTGATTGCCCTTTAGAATTTGGCCTTTTTGGACCAAACTTTATGGCCACGTATTTGTATCAGCTCTCTCCGCAAGAAGTATGATTCCACCAAGTTTAATAGAAACCTATGCTTTCGATCTTGTGTTGATTGTTGTTGTGGCTTGTTAGGATCTTACATTGGCGAAAATGTTGGTGAGGGTGAACCCCTTAGTTACAGATAATCTGGCAGGGACAAGAAGCTTTAGCGCGGAAGGGTATGGATCTGTTACACGTATTTATATTGTATGTGGAGAGGACCTTGCGGTAACTGAGGATTATCAGCGTTGGATGATCAACAACTATCCTGTAAAAGAAGTGTTGGAGATCAAAGATGCAGATCATATGGCAATGTTCTCCAAACCTCAAGAACTCTCTGCTCTTCTCTTGGAGATTGCGGATAAATATGCCTAAATAAAACCTAATAGTATTGGCTGTGAGTGATGGGTAACTACATTATATATATATAAATGTGAAGTCCATCTTCTTCAGTTAGAAATGTAGTACAAGCGCCACAGGCAATGCATCATCATTAGTAGTTACTTCATCAATAAATAACTCAAGCGACCAAAAAGCTGCGGGTGTATTCACAACTGTAAGACTGAAACATGTACGAGAAGAATCATAAATGCAACTACGACATGAAAAGTAACACACAGAATCATGCCAAAGAAAACATCACTTAGGAAACAATTAGGTGGAAAAATGCATATAAAGAGGACAAGACCATTTCACAAGAACATCAAAGATTGATGATCCGTAATTGAAGAGACAGTGTTCTGTAAGCTTAAAGAGATAGAAAAAAGTAATAAATAAGGAGTATCCTGAGGAAAATAAGGATCGCTGTATTTGAATTAGATATAATGGATCTTACTTAAGATTCAGACTTTTATTGCTTTCGATTTTTTGAAGAAAATAAGATAAACTAATAGTCAACGTAGTGTTGGTTTGGCATTCTCTGGTTCTCAGAGAACGACTTTGAACTAATAGTCAATGTACAAAGAGTATACGTGGGAAACTAACCATCTATATAAGATTAAACCAAGATGAATAAAGTAAAGAAGGCAATGGAGTAGGAGACCAGAAGTTTGCTTTTATCACATGTTAACAAACTGTATATAAAAATTTGTTATCACATCTTGACAAAAACAAAAGCAATCTCACTAAAATTAAACACGGCAACACAACGCATACAAGATCGATTTAACTGCGTATTACAAACGTAAATTCAAGAAATATGCATAGAACCTCCGAGGAGACACTTTGTTCAACAAACAATCAAATCACATATCTCTAAGTTTACTGAGATTAACAGGAGAAATAACTTTAACATCACCGTATAACAATTGCTTTGCAATGATAACATTTGCTGCTTCACTCGGATGATAAGGGTCCCAAAACACATACTTGTCCCTTTCCTCGCACAAACTCGAAGTCGGTCCGCACGGTATTATACCCGCATATTGTCCTCCATTACCGCAACAAGCCTTTGTCGCAGTTTTGAACCCTATCAGGTTTAACACGTGGGTATATGTAAGTAATGTGCGTGTATGAATAATAGAAGCACACAATAATATATTACCATATTTTTTGTAGTTAGTAATGAGTTCCATGACGAGATCGTAAACATTGGCATGCACGAACACTGCTCCCGGGAGCTTCTTGTTTAGGTCCTCTAGCAAACTCTTTAGTCGAACGTTGTATTGATTTGCTAGCTTATTAGCCAAATCCACACACTCGTCTTCGTTTAGTTGATTAATGGTTTTCTGGTACGGTATGCATCCGATCGGTCCAACGTTCCCGATCACAAACTTTCTCGCGTCCATTTGATACAACCTCTGCATAGCAATCATAAACAATCATAGTTAGCTTGTAACACATGATATAAAACTCACAAAAAAACTTCTCTAAATTTAGTCCGATGAGATTATTTTTTGTGGTTGCTTACGGTTAGTTGGTCACGTAGATGATTCAGCATGTCGTCAATAAAGATATCAGGAGTTTCAGTGAGCCTTGTTCCAACCGAGAGAAGTGGGAATAGATAGTTGTTCAGGAAGTCGTTGGCTCCGATAGTGATGGAGAATATTGATTTCTTGCTTATATAGTCTTTTGCTTTGTCTTTACCGAGCAGGTCATCAAACTGTTTACGTGTGGTGTTGAAGAAATCGACTTGTACATCCATACCTAACCTATTCACCTACCAAATATTTACATTTTTACACAAAATATTAGAACTCCAAAAATGAATTCTAAACATTATCAAAACCAAATGGTTAAAACTTACAAAGATTCTTCCGGTTGCATTCATGATTCCTCCTCCTCCAGACGCGTAATTCACACCGGCTAATAAAGCCTTTCCAGTAGCGTTTGGTGCTAAGAATGGGATCGCATAGTTCGCTGACCCTAGCTCTTCCCCTGAAATATCATAAACCAAACCGTCCATATAGTAAAAATAACATGTGTAGACCAAATAAATATCAACATCATCTTATATACGAATGATGTATACCACATATCATTTATTATATATATGTGTTACATAATATATATATATATATATATATATATATATGTGTGTTACATAATATATATATATATGTTTACTTACCAACGATGTCACCTATGGTCCGGCCGTTAGTAAACCGACCGGTAGGGTTTCCGCCAGAGGCTTTGAAATCGATACCATTAGGCTTCATATTGGCCCTAGACAACGTCGGCAGATAATTATTATTTCCGGCATCGACTAAAGAATCTCCAAATATAAACGAAGCTCCTAATCCGCCATTTTTGTTATTATTAACGTTAACTCCACGGCCAGCAGCTTCCACTAAAGCCGTGAGAGTAAAGAGGAAGGAGAAGAAGAAGAGAGTCACGTCCATATCTCTTCTATTAGAAGCTTTTGTGGTCATTTCTCACGATTTTGAGAAATTTGGGTGTTTCTGTTTTAGATTTATATAATAACAAAAGGGGTTGAGATCGAAAGGAAACTTGTGAGATTGTGCTTCAAGATTTTTCTAGTGGTGGTTCATCAACGCGTACTAGTTTTTCCTTTTGCTTGTGAGCCTTTGATTCGTTGGACGCTTGAGATCTCCAATTATAGTCTTATCTAAGCGAAGTAGTTCAAATTTGTTGGACAGATAAAATATCAATTTCCAAGAAGAAAAGTAATTACTGATGCGCATCATTCCAAAAAATTATTATACTACTACCTTCTACAACCAAAATGAAAATACAACAATTATTAAAATTTGGTATTTTATGTTTATATATATATATATTATCATTTTTCTTAAATTTAAATATATTTATTAATTTTTAATAGAATTAGATATTAAAATTTTATACATTTTAAAAGGAAAAAAACATTTTTATTCTGTTACAGTTTAATGTTACTAGTAATACTCATTTAGTTTTATGATTAATTATAAGGTATCAGTGACAAAAAAAATTAAAAGGTACAATAATAGTTTAATTTTTTAGAAATGTAATAATACAAATAAAATATATGGTATAACTATAAGTTCAAACTAATTAATAAAACTAATTTATCTATAACTAAATAAAAAGTAATAAAATACATTATTTTAATATTTAATATGGTAAGTAATATTACACAAAATTGGCATAACATTGTTCACACTATATCAAATTTTGTGAAATAACGTCACTTTGTTATGCTTTAGAGATAAAATTACATCAACTTTGTTGTTTTGGTGTCATGGTTAAAAATGATCTAACCGTTAATCTCAAAAATTTGGATTTTTCAGTTCAAAGAATTTCGTAATTGGATATTTTATGAGAATGCGCGTTAGATAAAACCAACATCTTGAAATAGAAACGGTATACACCTTTCAATATTATATATTCCAAATTGGACATAACCAGTGTTTTCGCGTGGGGGAAATGAGATAAAACATTTCTACGTAAACATTTGTTAAAACACCAAATTTTAGCAAAAAAGAAAAAAGAAAACATTTGTTAAAGCATTGATGCTATATATATACCGTACTGATTTGAATTGAAGCATGTCAGATATTAACAAAAAAAAAATCCAAAGTATTTCTTTCCTTGTTGCCCATGTTTTCACAGGAGAAGCAAGGAAATGAGAGAAATCACAATATTTTGTTTTTACTTATTTGTTTCCTTGTTGCCCATGTGAGGTATAGCATTTTTACATGTTTTTAGTTATTCATTTTAATTATTTTAGTGCTTAGAAGTTGCATTTAGGTGTCATTAGGTGTTGCATTTGTACATATTGCATACACAAGGGGCTGGAAAACATAATTAAACGTTACGGGGCAAATCTGAGGATTTTTCTGCACAATACAGAAGTTTTGGAGCTGAAATAAAAAGGGGCCAAAACACAGGGGACAATACTGCAATTGCTTAAAAGATCAGCCATTGTTGTACGTGAGTTGCAGAGCGTTCGTGGTGGAGAAGATGTGTGCTCGATCCGACCCTCTCAGCCCCAAACCAAAGTCTCATGTCCCGAAATGTACGAATCGACCAACCCCATGGAGATCTGCACACTCGATTTATGGCTGTGGGAGTCGATTTCACTCTACTGTAAAATAAATCGTAAATAAGGAAACTTCGGGAAAAACCCTAAGTTTCCAGAGGAACCGGCTATCTGCGAGAACCGCACAACGAAAATAAGAAAACGATAACTTAGAATTTGAATGAGAATAAACAAAAATAGAGAGCAAAGAGGTTCTTATTCCGAATCTGCGTTGAACTGGTACAAAGAGAGTAGTCAAAAACGTAAGAACTAGAAAAACCCTAAATGAGACGCAGCTCGCTAACAGAAAAACGGAAAGATTCCTAAATGCTAGTTTTGGTGGTGAGAGCTCTGAATTTCGTGTGTCTGCTTCTGCCCTAGACCTCCTCTTTATATACTCCTCGCCTTGGCTATCCGATCTTTCCATTTCGCCCAGATTTGACTAAATCGGGAATTTTCCATTCTTCTCGATCCTTCCTTTTCTTCTACGGAAATCTTCTATTTCTCTTCAAACCTTCCTTTTATCTATAAACTTGACTTTTATTTTCCTTCTGCGAGTAAACCGTCAAAAACGTTGTCAAATCCGCGGGTTAGATTCCGTTAAAATCGCGAGATGGGTTTTCATCGCGTTTTAGGTCCTTTCGGGCCGTTTTGCGATAAAAACCGTTTTCCGACTTTTACGGGATCGTTTCCTGATCTGACGTCGTTTTTAATAATTTACTCGAGTTAATCGCAAGGTTTTACGATTTACTCGATTTTTATTAAAAACACGTTTTTTACGACTTACTCGACGTTTTTTATTAAAAAGCGCGTTTTTATGATTTTAACGAGAAATCCCGAATAAATCGTATAGTTTAGGCAATGTTCGGTGTTTTGTTTAACCGTTGCCATTTTATATGATTTCCTCGAGTTCTTT